GAGTCAAAATGATGAATTTAGAATTATAATTAAGCTTTTAATCCAACAACCGAGCCACCGAATTGCGACAAAATATTTTCCTAAAATCCCAACTTACTAACTGCAACCAGAATAATAAAATGGGATTAAGGATGCTAAAAACCAATGCTTAATTAGAACTCTTAAATCCAAAACAACAGAATTAAAGTTAGCAAGAGACAATATGATCCAAGATTCCAAGCCACCTTAGAAAATCACAATATATTAACTCCAAAATCAATACAAATGTCATAACCACAACATTAGAACTAAAATTAAAGCTATAAACAGCCCAATGTCAAATGCTAAACAATAATCCAGTCACAATAATCTCCACAGACAATCAAATTTAACAATACAAAATTTTCCAATAATTAGAATAACTATCCTAAGACCTAGGAATTGTTAAACAATTATTAGACAGGAAATTTAAGTAACTAAAACTCCCCTTTGATGATCCAAGCTCCTGCCATTGTTGTTGAATTAGAGAATCATGAAATTAGCCACCGACTGCCATCAAAATTGCTGTAATCAAAGCTCTGCTACAAGGTTCCATGGAGAACACGGTGAAGCTATTAAAGACAGTGACGGAACAGCACAAGAGTTGATGGAGGATGACGCCATTGAGCTTCTGTTCGCTGTTTCTGTTCGTCTGCGTCACTGTTCGTGCCGCCGGTTCGCTGTCACTGGTCCTTCTTTCTTCTTTTTTTTCCTGTTGCTGTCCGACTAGTCTCGCCTCCCTCTCTGTTTTTCAGTTCACGCCGCCCAACTCGTGTCTTCCTCTCCCACCGTCACGAGCTCCCTGCCACCAGGGAGGTTCAACCAAGAAGATGATGAATGGTCCCCTGTCTTCTCTCACCGCCCAGCTGGTTCCTCGTGTCTTGCTCTGTCATTTCTCGCCGCCTCTAGCTCGTGGGCCTCCCCGGATGAACAAGATGATTATTGGATATTAGGTTGGGGGAGCAAAACGCTCCCCCTTTTATTATTATATTTTTTAAATTTATTTTTTAAATTTTCAAAATCTTCCAAAAACTTGCAAGCAAAAATTCAAAGATTAGGTAGCATTAATTGTCCTCAAAAAAATCAATTAGTCATAATTAAACCAAAATATGACAATTTTGCCCCTATAAAATAATAATTCAAAATAAAATATATTAAATCAATTAACAATCAATTAAGGCAAAAAGGGACCAATTAAGTTGACAATACCCATATAAAAGATATCAAAATATATAAAAATAATTGAGTTTGTCAACTCCCCCACACTTAGCCTTTTGCACTCCTGGGCAAAACTTCATTAAAGAAGAATCCAATAGAGAGATTCAATGTAAGCAACCATAAGATCGACTAAGTATGAATATGCAATTAACTCAAGCAACCTTTATTCCTAATCAATCAACAATTGTAGAATATTTCAATGCAAAGAAATTAACACTTGAAACATAGCAGGATAAAGGAAGAGAAACATAATAGAGCTCACAAAGGGTAAAAGTGTTTCACTCATCTCTCAAATAGGAAAAATTTCACTCAATCCACCTAGATTAGCACCTACCATAAGCTTGTAGAGATTTTAATATCTCCACCACTAGCATACCTTAAGTTCATGATTAAGGGGACTTGAAGGGTTGTAATGTCAAAAAACAAGGCCAAATGAATGAATGGACTAACAAGTGAAATGCTTGAGTAATTAAGTATAAACTCAAAGTGAGCTAAAGTACGATCATGAAAGAACACCAAAGTGCAGATTTTAAACTTTTGAAACAGAGATTTGACAAACTCAATTATTTTTATATATTTTGATATCTTTTATATGGGTTTTGTCAACTTAATTGGTCCCTTTTTGCCTTAATTGATTGTTAATTGATTTAATATATTTTATTTTGAATTATTATTTTATAGGGGCAAAATTCTCATATTTTGATTTAATTATGATTAATTGATTTTTAAGGACAATTAATTCTACCTTTTTCTTAAATTTTGTTTTTAGGTTTTTAGAAGATTTAAAAATAAAAATGAAAATTAAAAAAATGAAAAAAAAACATAAAAGAAAAATAAATTAAAAAAAAATATAATAATAAAAGGGGGAGCAAAATGCAACGTTTTGCCCCCCAACCTAATATATTATAATTCTTCTTCATCTCCACAAGACACAACAGAAAAACACGAGAGCTGGGCAGCGGCGAGAAATAAAAGAGCGAACAGGGAGCAACACGAAGAGAAGCAGTGAGCGACGGCTAGAGGCATGACAACACCATTCATCACCTTCTTCTTCTCCTTCTAGGCGTCCAACAAAACAGAGGCAAGCGTGCAAGGACCTGTGAGTGAAATAGAGCGACAGCGAACCAGCGGCGTGAAGGAAGAGGATTCAGCGTGAGCTTCACAGCGAAATCACACCCCCAGCATTCATCTTCTTTGTTCTTCATGGCTGAATCGAATTGGTTTGTTGGAACTGTGGTTGTGATGGTTAAGAGTAGCTAAATCCTCTAATTCTCTAGAACAGTGTTTATGGCTTGAACTTGGAGCTTCAAAGGGGAGTTTCAGCTCTTCTAATCTTTATTTCCTACATTGTAATTGTGATTTCTAGGTCTTAGAATGAATTTTATAATGTTTGAATGTGTTGTGATGATTTATATTTATATTGAGATTGGTTGTAGCTGCTGGAATCTTTGATTAGAATTTAACATTATGCTGTGATTAGCTTTAATTTCTTTACATTGTACTGGGTTAGACTATGTTTTAAAATTATTGTGAACATTTAGTGGTAATTTAAGGTGGCTTAGTTATTGAACTAAAAATGTTAATTGCTTTTCCTTGATTTTTTTTGGCTAATTGTGCTGAAACAGTTTAATTGTGAGTAATTAATATGCAAGGTGATTTGCTATTGATTATTCTAATTAAACCGAGTCTAAGGGGTGGCCCTTAGAGTCTTTTGAATTTAGTTAACTCCTAAATTAATTGAAGTAATGACAGCCTTAATCATTATGCTAGAGGATTGCTTTTTCATTTCCTATCACTTGCTAATTCTCTTTATTTATTTCATTCATGTCCATTTTATAAACTAAAAAACCAAAAATTATTTACTCATTTTGCATCCTTTTAAATTTTGCCAATTAGTTAGTTAAAAAGAAAATCAATCCCTTTCCAACTCAATTCTTTGTTTTTGATACTTAGTTGCTTAGGATTTCAAATAAAGGCTCCTTAAAGTGAAACAACTCGAGTTTTGCACTATATTGCATTGCTTGGATTTATTTTTGATTGGAAACCCCAAGGCGAACGACAAAGGCTCTCATCAAGATCCTTGCTCTTCAAACCACCATTGAATGCCTTATTTCAAATTTATTCTTTTGTTGCAACTTATTTTCTTTTTCTATAACTTTCTTTTCTTTTCCCTTTTTTTTTTGCTTTTTTTTTTGACATCCAAACCCAAGAAGGCAGAGATATAGACTTTAATGATGTACTTTTCAAAATAAAAAAACCAAATGTAACTCATGCAAGACACTTACTAAAAAGCAATGAACAAAATGAAAGTGAAGGCTCAAAGGGGTGAACAAAGGTTAAATGAAGTGGTTTGTGTTTGGGTAAAGGTTTAGAAATGAATGCCCCTATCATCTTCACAAATCTAGGTATTAATGCAGCTTTGAAAAAGAATCTAGACAAGTTCTAGAGGTTAACCAAAACTACGTGAAAATCACACAAGATGGAAAAAATATATGGCTCAACAATCCTTCCATCAAGGCTTTCTCCAAGATGTTTCCTCCTTAAGGATCAAGCTATGAAACAAGGTTAATAACACTGTACCAAAGGAATTCTACTATGCTAATCAACTAAGAACAAAAATCACTCAAATCAAATGCAATCAAACTCAGCCGTACAACATTCACAAGCATTGTGCAAAAGAATTTTAAAAGAGATGCCCAAGGGTTACAAAAGTCAAGTCAGCACCAGAGAAAACATCAACTCGCCCATACAGCAGTGCAGAATACTGAGGTGAATGAAAGCAAGAGGACATAGAAACCAGCAACAAAATTCCCAAGCAAGAATCACTCTTAAATCATGCGATGCAATTCAGAAATCAGCCAATAAGGCAAAGAAGAGAGCAATTATAGCAGCAATACTTAGGAAACAGGAGCAAATCCAAAGGTTAAAATTTTTTTTTTAAACAACTCAACAGCAATCCCTCCCCCACACTTGATCAATACATTGTCCTTAATGTAAGAAAAACAACATTATCTTAACCTAAACTCTCGAGTGAAGTGGAAGTTGTGAAGTTCAATTTGAAATCGAAGCACAACACATCACTATCACGAAGAAGAGAGAAGGGAGAGATAGGATAAGATAATGTGAAAAGAAAATGGATAAGCATAAATCAAGTAATCAAAAGAGATGGCAGAATCAAGAGGAAACAAAACAAACAACTACTAAACAGAAATAAACAGCTACAACTACAACTACTAGAGAAGTTCCCTCCCCCATACTTACTCCTAACTATCTCAACAAATAGATATCACCAGCAATACAACAGAAAGTAAAAGAGTAGGGTGGAAGGGAACAACCGTGTGATTAGGGGGGTCTTTGATCCTCATGGTAGTGCTTCAGCAGATGGCCGTTGACTTGTGAATTTATACCGGTCTCCTCATCTACGAGCTCTATCGTGCCAAAGGGATATACTTTAGTAACTCTAAACGGACCTTCTCACTTGGTGACAAACTTCCCAGGCATAAGCTTCAACCGGGTTTTAAACTTTAGAACCTTGTCACCTTTATAAAACTGCTTCCTCAGAATCTGTCTGTCATGAATCATTTTCGGCTTGTCTTTGTAGATTCTGGCATTGTCATAGGATTCAAGTCTCATTTCTTCAAGTTCTTGGAGTTGCATCTTCCGATTGACTAGTGAAGATTCGAGATCTGCATCACATGCCTTGATTGCCCAATAAGATTTGTGCTCGATCTCCATAGGTAGATGGCAAGCCTTACCATAGAGCAACCGGAAGGGGGACATGCCTATAGGGGTCTTGTAGGCAGTCCTGTAAGCCCAAAGAGCTTCCTCAAGCCTTTCACTCCAGTCCTTACGGGATGGTTTCACAATCTTCTCAAGTATTCGTTTCACTTCCCGGTTAGAGACTTCAGCTAACCCATTCGTCTGAGGGTGATAAGGAGTGGCCAACTTATGATTGACTCATGTTTAGCCAATAAAGACTTGATGGTCCTATTGCAGAAGTGTGTTCCTTGGTCACTGATGATTGCTCTTGGAATGCCATACCTGCAAAAGATATGAGAACGTAAAAACTTGGCAACAGTAGAAGCATCATCTTTCCTAGTTGGCACTGCCTCTACCCATCAAGACACATAATCTACTACAAGTAATATGTATGAAAACCCAAAAGACGAAGGGAAGGGACCCATAAAGTCCATGCCCCACACATCAAAGATTTCACAAAAATGCATAGGTCTTAGAGGCATCTCATGCTTCCTTCCAAACTCCCAAACCTCTGACACTTATCACAAGACTTGCAGAAAGAATAAGCATGCTTAAATAGAGAAGGCCAATAAAAACCATACTTTAAAACCCTCCTAGCAGTCCTATTAGCACTAAAATGCCCCCCGCAAGATAAAGAATGTGCAAAGGTAAGGATAGAGTGGATCTCATTATTTGGAACACAGTGTCTGATGATCTGGTCACTGCATTGCTTCCACAGGATTGGAGCATCCCAGATATAGTATCTTACCTTTCTCTTCAGCTTATCAATATGAAATTTAGACATAGAAGGAGGTATAAGGTCAGTGACAAGATAATTAACTATATTAGAGTACCAAGGCTCATGAATAGCCAAGGCAAAAAGTACAGAATCAGGAAATGAGTCAATAACAAGATCAGAAGAGTTAACTCCCTGTGTGCCTTCAGGTAACCAACTAAGGTGGTCAGCTACATAATTCTCCGCTCCGGCTCTATCTCTGATCTCGATATCAAACTCCTGTAGTAGCAAAGCCCATCTCAGCAGTCTAGGTTTAGACTGAGGCTTCTTAAACAAGTACCAAACCGCTGTATGATCTGTAAAAACAACCACTCGAGAGTTTATTAGATATTGTCTAAACTTATCCAGAGCAAAAATAATAGCAAACAGTTCCTTCTCCGTAGTGGTGTAATTCACTTGAGCGGAATCAAGTGTCTTGGAGGCATATGCGATGACTCTAGACTGTTTCTCCTCCCTCTGTCCAAGCGTGGCACCTACTGCAAAGTTAGAAGCATCACAAGACAACTCAAAAAGTAAATTTCAGTTGGGTACAGTGAGGATAGGAGGTGAAATAAGCATAGATTTCAAAGTGTTAAAAGCATGTCTATACTCATCAACAAATCTAAATTCAGTATCCTTCTTTAACAAGGTAGAAAGAGGCAAAGCAACTTTACTAAAATCCTTAATAAAGCGCCGATAGAAACCTGCATGCTCTAAGAAAGATCTCAAATCTTTTAAACAAGTAGGATAAGGAAGGGATGAAATAACTTCAATTTTGGCCCTATCAACCTCAATCCCCTTTTAGGAGATGAGGTAACCTAAGACTATCCCTTTATCAACCATGAAATGACACTTTTCAAGTTCAAAACCAATTTCTTATCAATATACCTCTCAAGAGCCTGCTCTAGGCTATTCAAGCACTCATCAAAGCTCTCACCGTAAACAGTAAAGTCATCCATAAAAACTTTCATGTTTTGCTCTAGAAGATCACTAAATATCACCATCATGCACCTTTGAAAGGTGCCTGGAGCGTTACACAACCCAAATGGCATCCTTCGATAAGCAAAGGTACCAAAAGGGCATGTAAAGGTAGTCTTGTCCTGATCTTCAGGAGCGATAGGCACCTAAAAATAGCCAGAAACACCGTCAAGAAAATAATAGTGAGACTTTCCTGAAATTCTTTCCAACATCTGATCTATAAAAGGTAATGGAAAGTGATCCTTTCTCGTAGCATCATTCAACTTCCTATAATCTATACACACTCTCCAAGCATTTTGAACCCTAGTTGGAATCAATTCATCATTTTCATTTCTGACTACTGTGATACCGCTCTTCTTTGGTATTACTTGTACCGGACTTACCCACTCATTGTCTGATATGGGATAGATGATCCCAGCACTCAACAACTTTGAGACTTCCTTCTTAACCACATCCAGAATGAGAGGATTCAATCTCCTCTGTGGTTGCCTAACTGGCTTGGACCCTTCATTTAAAAGGATCCTGTGTGTGCAAACTAATGGATTAATTCCTGGAATATCCCCTAAAGACCATCCTATAGCCCCTTTATGACTCTTCAACACAGAAATCAATCTTTCTTCTTTAGAACTATTCAAAGAACTGGAAATAATAACAAGCAATTTAGAATCAGCAGCAAGAAAGACATATTTCAAATTAGGGGGAGGGGTTTTAGTTCTAAATCAAGAGGTTGCACAACAGAAGGAACTAAATCTTTTATGTCAAGTGCATTCAATGCAAGCGGCATGCCCATATGGCTTGGGGAAGGAGATATAAGCTCATCATGATGTGTATGTCCTCCACTTCCCAACTCAGTGCCATTCTTGGATGACCTACAAAAAAGAGGATCAGTATCAATTTTATCATCAGAAACATTAAGAAAATCACAAGGAAGAGTGGGATTAGAAGTGACTAAGTGAGTAGAAATCTTGTTGCTAGCCTCTTCTAATATTCCAGCACCACTCAAAGGAGAAGCTACCGATATAGCTTGTGTAATAGCTCCTTTATCATCAGTACCTGCAGAATCAACAAACTCGCCTTTTTCAAGGTTATCATCAAGTGTAATGTTCAAGGCAGAATCACAGTTAAGACAAGATGATGCATCAAAATCATGAGAGATGGAAAGGAGGTGATCAACTTCTAAACAGTTAACACACACCACGTCACCATAACATGAGCAAAAAGAAGAAGAATGAGGGGTAGATAAACAAGTAAATGCATCATCATGCTCAACAGTCTCACCATACCAATCATGTTCATGCATCTCAGATTCATGCAAATAATCAACATCATTAACAACACAATCAATCAAATTAACACCCAAGTAAGAGCAATCTGCATAACCTTGACTCATAGCATTAGAAATATTGAAGGTAATCTGTTGGTCCCCAAAGCCCATGGTAATGACTCCATCTTTCACATTAATTATGGTTTGGGCTGTTCTAAGAAAAGGTCTTCCTAGAATCAAAGTGCTATCGACTTTAATCTCATCAGTCATATCTAGCACATAAAAGTCAGCTGGGAACACAAGACCCTTCACTTGCATGAGAACGTCCTCAAGAAAGCCCTTAGGATGTCTCATAGTCCTATTAGCTAGACTTAGCACAACACTGGTGTCTTTCAAGGTATAAATACCCAAACTCTCATAGATAGAGGTAGGCATAACATTTATGGCTGCACCTAAGTCTAGTAAGGCATGTGAAATGTTTGTTTTGCCTATGGTACAGGGAATAGTGTAGGAACCCGGGTCTTTACACTTAATAGGTAGCTGTGGCTTGAAGATAGCACTAATACTAGACCCTAGTTGGATTCTCTCACTATGCCTATACTTTCTCTTGTTTGTACATAAATCTTTCAGAAACTTAGCACATTTAGGCATCTTCTTAATCAAATCAAGTAATGGCACATTAACCTCAAGTTTGCTAAACATTTCAAAAAGCTCATCATTATCTTTCTTTTCAACAACTTTCTTACTCATGAGATATGAATGAGGAAAAGGCAAGTCAGAAATGTTTACCTCATCACCTTTGGAAGGTGATCCTTTCTCTATTGGCTCTTTGGATTGAATGGAGGTCTCTTGAGTAGCCTTGGGAATGTCTTGAGTGGTTTTAGAAGGAGGAGACTCAACTTCTATCTCTTTGTCAACCGGTTCTTCATCCTCTTCATCTTCTTTGAATTGCACTTTCTTAGCACTAATTTTCTTACCGTTTCTCAGTGTAATTGCATTCAAAGATTTATGATTTATCACTGTGTTGGAAGGCATTGAACCACTAGCCTTAGCTTGCTGTTCACTCATACCATTTGACAACTTAGTGACATAAGAAGTCAAATTAGAGGTTCTAGTTTCCCATTGCTCCATCCTATTCTCTAGGCCTGCAAATCTAGCTTCATATTTAGCTTCAGACTTAGATATGTGCTTAGTCATTGCCTCAATGCCCTTGAGTATTTGAGAGAACAGCTCATCATCCTTACACTGCGGTTGTTGTGGGGTAGACATGACTCTAGAAGATTCTCCTTGTAACCCTCCATAGTAAGATTGCCCTTGAGGAACCATATTTCCTTGAAACCCCTCTTAAACTTGCCTATTATCACCTCTTACCCATCGGAAATTTGGATGAGCTTTCCATCCTTCATTATATGTGTTTGAATATGGGTTCCATTGCTTAGATTGATTGGCCCTTCCTTGATACATGGCAGAAACTTCCTCATATCTATGAGGGCAAGCAGCAGAGATGTGCATAACAGAGTTACAATGCTCACAACTAGATGCAGTCATCTCCATAGAATTAGGATTTCGAGTGTCAACAGGGGGAGTGTGAGATGCAAGCTTATTCAACTGTGCAGTCAAAGCAGCAATTTGAGAAGTGAATGTGTCCAATTGAGAAATGTGGACTGAAGAAGGATTAGTATGCATTGCATTGACATTTTTAGACTCCCTGATGTTATACTATTGATGGTTCAAGGCCATTTTCTTGATAAGTTCCCATACCTCCTCAGCAGTTTAATCAATGAGAGAACCCCCAAAAGCAGCATCCAACATCCCCTTGTCTTGGGTCTTAAGTCCATCATAAAAGTATTGGACTAACTGCTCATCTGGAATCTGATGGTGTGGACATCTAGAAAGCAAGTCCTGAAAATGGTTCCAGTAGTCATAAAGTGACTCATCATAGTCTTGCTTTGCAGAGTAGATCTCTTTTCTCAATGTAGAAGTCCGGGAAGCAGGGAAATACTTCTCCAAGAATGCTTTTATGAGGTTGTTCCAGTTATGGTAGGCATCTGCCATATGCCTAGGCAAGCTCATGTACCATTCTCGCGCTTTGCCCTCTAGAGACTAGTGGAATACCTTCCAAAGAACCTCATCCAGATTAGTCCCGATCGGCTTCACGCTAGCACATACCATAGAGAGAGATTTCAGATGATTGTACGGGTCTTCACCTGTCAAACCATAAAATTTAGGCAAAGAATTAAGCAGTGGACCTTTAATCTCAAAATTAACATCAACATTAGGGCATGCAACATTAAAAGGATCATAATTTGCATCAGAAGTAGTGGCTTCCCTAATGGTTCTTCTTCTAGGGTTACCTTCATTATTCTCTCCTACTCTATCATGTTCCCCATTATGTCCATTACCCCCTCTGTCATTACTACCATTGTTGTTACCATTAAGATTATTAACTATTTCCATTATGTCACCTAAGTCAACCACCAAATTTAGACCAGTTAAATTGTCTAGTTCAACCTCATTAGTCCTTTCTACCCTTTGGTCTTGTCTAACTTCCCTTAAAGAACTTTGAAGCTCAGGATTGTAAGGAACTAGGGTTTTAGACCTACCCCTTCTTGGCATAAACAATCAATCAACCAGAAGCAATTAAGCAAAAGAAAACAGATGAATCCAATGCAATGCAAGTGTATGTGTATGAGAATGAAAAATGCAATGAATGAAAAATCAAGATATTTAGTTGTGTTTTTGAGAAATTTTCTATGCAAAGGAAAGAAATGCTATGAAAAATCAAAAGAAACAAATGCAAACTACTAAAGAAAATGCAAAAACTAACAAAAATGAAAACTAAAAAGGCTCAACAAATGAACCCCAATCAAGGCTACTTGACACTTAATTACTAGGGAACCAATTTCTTGGCTCCTTGGCAATGGCGCCACTTGAAGTTAACTTGCCCTTAATTTGTCGCTTTGGGGTTACTCCAAAAATTAACCGAATTAATGCAATATAGTGCACAATCCGGGTCGTATTCACTTTGAGGAGCCGAAAACGAAATTAAATCCTAGTAAATAAATGGAAGTAACCTAAACTATAAAAACGATTTTTGATTTGATAATTGCTAAGTAAACACCTTGAATTAAATTGAAATCAAAATACTTTTTTTTTGTTATATAAAAATGATTAAAATGAATTAAGATTAAAGAAATGAAAATGAAACCCACAAATAACAATAATAATAATCAATCCTCCAATTCAACAACGCAGGCAATCCTCACTCCAAAAGATACGAGAGTCAAAATAATGAATTTAGAATTATAATTAAGCTTTAATTCAACAACCGAGCCACCTCGAATTGCCACAAAATATTTTCCTAAAATCCCAACTTACTAACTGCAACCAGAATAATAAAATGGGATTAAGGATGCTAAAAACCAATGCTTAATTAGAACTCTTAAATCCAAAACAACAGAATTAAAGTTAGCAAGAGACAATATGATCCAAGATTCCAAGCCACCTTAGAAAATCACAATATATTAACTCCAAAATCAATACAAATGTCATAACCACAACATTAGAATTGAAATTAAAGCTATAAACAGCCCAATGTCAAATGTTAAACAATAATCCAGTCACAATAATCTCCACAGACAATCAGATTTAACAATACAAAATTTTCCAATAATTAGAATAACTATCCTAAGACCTAGGAATTGTTAAACAATTATTAGACAGGAAATTTAAGTAACTAAAACTCCCTTTTGATGATCCAAGCTCCTGCCATTGTTGTTGAATTAGAGAATCATGAAATTAGCCACCGACTGCCATCAAAATTACTGTAATCAAAGCTCTGCTACAAGGTTCCATGGAGAACACGGTGAAGCTATTAAAGACAGCGATGGAACAGCGTAAGAGTTGATGGAGGATGACGCCGTTGAGCTTCTGTTCGCTGTTTCTGTTCGTTTGCGTCACTGTTCGTGCCGCCGGTTCGCTGTCACTGGTCCTTCTTTCTTTCTTTTTTCTGCTGTTGTCCGGCTAGTCTCGCCTCCCTCTCTGTTTTTCAGTTCACGCCGCCCAACTCGTGTCTTCCTCTCCCACCGTCACGAGCTCCCTGCCACCAGGGAGGTTCAACCAAGAAGATGATGAATGGTCCCCTGTCTTCTCTCGCCGTCCAGCTGGTTCCTCGCGTCTTGCTCTGTCATTTCTCGCCACCTCCAGCTCGTGGGCCTCCCCGGATGAACAAGATGATTATTGGATATTAGGTTGGGGGGAGCAAAACGCTCCCCCTTTTATTATTATATTTTTTAAATTTATTTTTTTAATTTTCAAAATCTTCCAAAAACTTGCAAGCAAAAATTCAAAGATAAGGTAGCATTAATTGTTCTCAAAAAAATCAATTAGTCACAATTAAACTAAAATATGACAATTTTGCCCCTGTAAAATAATAGTTCAAAATAAAATATATTAAATCAATTAACAATTAATTAAGGCAAAAAGGGACCAATTAAGTTGACAAAACCCATATAAAAGATATCAAAATATATAAAAATAATTGAGTTTGTCATGTGTCTTCTTCAAGGTTCGAACTGGTGACCACTTCCTTTTATGTCCAAACTTCTTATCGTTGAGTTGGATTGAATTTGCTTATTACTATTGTAAAATAAAATATATATTATTATATTATACTTTCAGCAGCAACATTAGAAAGTCACTGCTGAAAGTTAGACCTTCAACGGTGACTTTCTAAAATCGCCACTAAAAGTTTGAGGCTGAATGGAGAACCAAAAGACAACTAGAATGTCGTTGCTGAAAGTGAACCCTTCAGTGGTGATGGTAAATGTCACCACTGAAGGTCTTACATTCAGTGACGACTTTTTGTGTTGCCGCTG